CGCGTCGAAGTAGAGATCACTCGAACTCACACAGACATAGACATACTTCTCCAAAGAGAGATCGAAATAATCATCATAAATCTAGCCAGCACGACAAGCATAAATCGAGAACAAATTCATCTAGTTCAAATAAACATACGTCCAGCAGAAGCGACAAGAAACATCATTTGAAATCAAGTCGAAGATCTAGTAATTCTCCCAAAAATCTAGCAAACATAAAGAGAGTAGTAGTGAAAAGAATTCATCTGGTAGTTATGATAGTCCTGCAGACAGTATTCATTCTTTTATGGACGAAGAGATTTTAGAATTATCAGACTCTGATCATGATGTACAAGAAGAATGTCTAAAGATTTTTCAGGTAAATTTTTATTTAAATATTTACATATAAAAATATTTGATATATTCAACTTTTTTTTATTATTCTTTGCAGTAGTTTAGATTTGCATTTTAATTAATTAAAGTATACATGTATATTGCAAATTATATTTAAAATTTTTCTCATTCATTTCATAAAAATGTTTTTATTAATAAAAAATAAAAAAAATTTAATTTTGTTTTTACTTAATACATTGGATAAACTTTATTACTTAATGTTATTTGTATTCATTTTGAAGGAATATCAAGCCTCTGATCATCCAAAATTAGTATCGATCAAAAAATCGAAAGAAGAAACCGAAGATGTGGAAGAAGTTGGTAAGAAAAGAGTTGCGCATCCTTCAGCGGCTACAAGCGTCACCAGACAGTTAGGTCCTAGTCAGCCACCAAAAAAGCTCATGACACCACAACAAAAAATGTACGAGCGATGGCGTTTGATGAAGGAAGCAGCGGTCGGAAAGGCTGCAGAGAAGGCGGCGACAGCTGATACGAAGCCTCAAATTACATCTGTGTCAGCAGTTCAGTCTTCGAGTAACTTACACAAAGAGCATATCGAGTCTGCTTTGTCAATAAGCAACAGCGATTTGCAACCGAATGGCAAGTTGAATAACGTGGCAATTAAATTATGCTTTATTTCGACATATTTTTTTATTAACATCTTTTGTAATGTGTATTGTAGGTCGCATTAGAATCGCTCATGTTCCATATGCACAATCTCTTGCAATGGAGAAGAAAAAAGTTGCGGTGACAGCGAAAAAATGCGGAGAGAACAAAGAAATAGATAAGACGACAGCGCAAACTACGAAGGGCGGTGTACGTGTTGCTCACATTCCGCAAATGGTAAGTCTTAATTAGAAACTTCAGTATTCCAGTATAAGTTAATCATACGAGTGTCCGTATACATATACACTGCGCATTATTTATTAAAATTATATTTATACGCAGGTACCTCAACTGGTACGTCCAGAACCGCTCCAAGTCGCCACGCAGAAGTTTCCCTTAAATGTTCGTCAGTATTATATTAATATAATGCACGATATATGCGTGCAAATATATACGAATGGCGATGATGCAGCGCAACGCGCCGTTAAAGAGGAATTAGCTTGTCACGAAAGATGTAAGGCGCTCGCTGTATATAAAAATTCGTGTATGTTGGCGGCTCATAGACTGAGGAAGGAAGTTGATCAGAATAAATCGGATGAAAAGTCCGCCAGATTGAATTACGGTATGGTATCTCACGAAGCAGTGCTTGCTGGCAAATCAAAGGGTTCTTGGAGCGTAGTAAAGAGTAAAAAGACCGTGACAGATTTCAAAGGACCTGCGTTCTACAATATGCTCAAAAAATATATCATGACTGAGACGCAGCTGAGAGATAATGGATTTCCACGTAGACATCCGAATGGTTTAAAGGTAAAGAAAACTTCTAGACAATAAAATGCAAATAAGGAATAAGTGTGATGTACAATTACAACTTTTTCGATCAAAATTAATGGTGTTTTTAGCTACAATAAAATATGTCTTATATTTTGCAGGGACAAGCAAAGGTGTATGTAATAAATGCGCGAAACCAAAATATTTTGTCAAAAGTGCCTAACGAAAGAATATGCAGCCGATGCGGCCAAGCGTATATGGTAGATAAACAGTGCTTTGCTGTACAGCAACAAAACTGTATATATCATTGGGGAAGAAAGTTTACAATTAAAGGCGAGGGCAAGTATAGTTGTTGCCAGCAATACGGATCCGCTACTGGTTGCTGCGACGCAAAGACACATGTATGGGATTACACAGATTATGAAAATCTTCGCGGTTATGTGAGAACTTTATCGAAAGGTAAGGTATTTCCAGTTCTTTATGTATTTTTCCTATATATCTAATTGTAAGTATATCATTGTATTATATGATTAATTTTTTTTTCTTGCATTGTTAACAAAACAAAGATGTTTCTATGGACGAGCAAGGTGTCTATGCACTTGATTGTGAAATGTGTTATACTACGCATGGTTTAGAATTGACTAGAGTAACAGTCATTGATGAAGATTGCAACGTAATATATGAAACGTTAGTCAAACCACAAAATACGATAATTGATTATAACACAAGGTAAATGATAAGATCTAAAATATTGATTGGGCATAATACTTGTTATATGTGTCGTTTACAATATCAGTATTTATCAGTATGTAGCAAGTAATTTTTTATGTTGATAGGTTCTCAGGGATTACAGAAGAGGATATGAAAGACGTGACGACGACTATTTTAGATGTACAAGCTACACTTCTCACAATGTTTTCGGACAAAACAATTCTGGTGGGTCACAGTCTTGAAAGCGATTTTAAAGCTTTGAGGCTGCTTCACGATACCGTTGTGGATACCAGCGTTATGTTTCCACATAAGAATGGATATCCACAGAAACGGGCATTGAAAAATCTTTGTTCTGAATATCTCAGAAAACTTATACAAAATGATAGTGAGTATGACAGTTAATTTTTATACCTAAAAAAGGAAGAGAGGTGTTTATATAAAGGGGAAAGAAACAATAATACATATATTTATAATAATAAATATAATATATTCAATAATAATAAATATAATAATATATAATATACTCAGTAAATATATATATATATATATATTATTTAATAATAAATTTGCATTCTAGTTGGTGGTCATGACAGTAAAGAAGATGCCGTCGCTTGTATGGAATTAATTCGCTGGAAAGTGAAGGAAGCAGCGAAATTACAGTAAATAAGGCTGCGTTCGCAGTTTATTACGAACAAATATCGTGATTGCTGTAAGATTACAGCGGCGTGTCAACTTGTAATGTTGCGCATACTTTACTGCCGTATGTGTGTATCATACTTTCTTATGTATAAATATGTAATATACATTCATTGCGTCGATTTAAAGATTTTCTTTCACACTAAATTCGAGATCGTAAATAGTTGATAAGATCACACATTCGCGACATCAATTCTCGTGACATTTATATACAAAGCGATAATAAAGAATCGATGTAAGGGTTTTCGATATACGCATCACGATATTTCGATTAATATTTTTATACTCCGTTATATTATTGCTTATTTATATTTTATAGCATTAAAAGAAACGAGATACGTCGCATCTGTTTATTTATTGACCCAACCTTGGCAGATGTATTTCACCTTGGTAGATGTATTTCAGGATTTGTAATAAATCAACAGAACAGCTTATTAGTGACATTGCACGTTTGATTCAAGTGGAAAACAAATATATTAATTTTTTTATACTGCAATTGCATTACATAAATGTATTTATTAACACCTATGCATGAAATATGCTTTTATGGATAATTGCTACAATCATGATAGTGTTTTAATAAAAAAATATCTCAGGGTTTTGTGAAGATGTATTGTGTATCACATGATGATGCATACATATATGTATATTTTTATGATATAATATAAATCTAATAGTTAGATATTCGCAATAGTATGACTGTTACTATATAGATATCAATATTTATTTAGGAATAAACTATGGCAAAGCAATTTAAAGCAAAATTGAAAAATGACAATGTTGCAGTAAATGTTGAAGAGAAATTAAGTATATATATTTTATACATATGTATATATATTATTTATAAAAAAATTGTGCAAGAGCTTGTGTTAAATTGATATATAATTTATATATATGCGTATATATATATATAATTAGATTTCCAGAAGGAAATAAAGCAAAATTAAATAAAAACAAGATAATACTGTATATAAATCTTATGTGATTCACAATTATTCTATTTCTTTCGATATTCAATATCTCACTCATATATATTATATCTATATATATATATAATATATATATATATATATTATATATATTATTAAATACAATCGTATAAAAGAAAGCTCAGAGCGTTCTTTGTACATTTTATTTTTTTTTCTTTGTACATATTTTACAAAAAAATTACATTTCGATGAGATCTACATCAAAATATTTTTCGACTATTATGCTGCTCGATCATTTCGTGTTCAACAATTAAAAGCAATTAATTTCAGTTAGACATCGGGATATCATTGCGCAATTATCACTGCGTTATATCACGCTCGTCGTCATAAAACTCGTGCGATTCATACCGTAATTGACTATAGATATCGCCAGTATGTTTGCGAAATTGATTGTAATGATGCAAAAATGCCTATGTTCTTTTTTTAAATATGCTTTAACGTAATGTAGACAGGAACATATTTCCGAAGTATCACTGCTTGATTTCTCCGTTTAAATATCCAGTTCTATTGTTTACAAATTACAATTCAATACGATATTGTATATAAAATATTTCTTTTTTCCTTTGCTATTATTGTCTGTACGTTCGTCATTCTTACTTACGGGGATTAAACGCTATAGTTTAGATTAGACAGACAATGTTAAAGATCTTCAAGGATACATTACATCGAGACAAGAGTTTGCAATCCGGCGATCGAGTGGCAGCATCGTTCTTTGCGATATCATTTTCCTCTCTTCACAAGTAGAATAAAAAAATGATTTAAAATATATATATATGTATATATATATATATATATCTCTTTTCCATTTTTATTCGTAAAAGTCGATTTTGTACAAGGGATCCTATATACTCGTTCAACTTTTTTACATACAAAATACTTTATTATGTATCCGTCCTCGCAGATTGTGTATTTATTGTCTGCGTATTTATAGCACATTTCTACCCATAATTACAATTCTAGTGTTCGTTAAAAATAACAGAGACGTACGTGTATAAAAAAAGAAAAGGGAAATCATATTTTGTTCTATAAAATGAAATGAAATAAATGACATTATTCACTACCGTGCCACACGAGCAACAGACGATCAATATATAAACACCGTTTATAAAGTACTCGATTGCATATCAAAATACATGCAAAAGAGAAATACTTAAGAGCATTTACGTTCGCAAATACGCGAGCGCATTTTCCGCATTTTATACTTAATCTCGCAATATCGTCTTTGATGAAACTCGTGGAGCAACTATCGCGAGTCGAAACGAATGAAATGATTCGACAATGAATGAATGAATTAAAGCTAATCAAATCTAATCGCAGCTGCAACGTATTGTGTTATAATATTGTTTTCATATATGTATAAGAGTGCAGCGTGCTGTCATAATCGGATCGACTTGAACGCAGTTTTGCTACGAAACACACGTGTCAAGAGAAGCACGTACGCACCCAAACAACATCAATAAAATCGAAACATGTCCAAAATCGGGTCATAAAATGTCTTAAAGATGTCTTATATCCCAATTTTCGATATATTGCTGCCTGGGCGATGTTCTTTCGGCGGAACCGGATATATCTGCTGGAGTCACAATTATAGCGATTCCAGGCAATATTAAAGCGATAATACTGAACATGTATGTATCGAAAGGCGATATCATCTTGGATATAAATCCCTTTTTCTATCACATAGACTAAATATTAGTCCCCGACACGATGCTTAATATACGTAATGTGCATATAAAATGCGTACATTATACACAGTAATATGTACACACGGGGATATAACGACGCTTTTTCTCTCTTTCTCTCTCTCTCTCTTCATGGAATATTGTAATTTACAATACTATACAATATAATACTTACATAAATTGACAAACGTACCGAGTGAAATTAATCTCGACCCAAGGGTCATTGTGAATATGTTAAAATCTTTCTATCTTTAAACGCAGAGAAACGTATTGTACTAAAAACGTGTTATAATCAGAGTGTATGATCTAAATTATTCGCACGATGTCAGAAGATTGTCACCTGGACATTGTCTACTATATTATAACTAAATGCACATTTTACGTTGCGAAATGCTACTCATCGTTCTCTCCTCGAAGAGATGCTACTATATCATGCACAATTTCACCAAGATTCACACATATATTATCATTCGTTTACACCCTTTTCGCAGAATTTGCAATGATATCTTGATACGATTAATTCGAGTTAAATTTATGGATTATATTTCCTTAACAATTGCGCACTTGTGTTTTTGTCTTTTTTAAAATTTTTTTAAATGTTAAGGTTTTAATTATTATCAGAAACTTGCAAACAGTTCCTTTGTTTGTATTACGGTACGTCCGTATGTGTAAAATCTTATCTAAGTTTAAAACATTTTGAAAATACATTTACTTGACAAAGTGATAATACTATAGTGAGCACAAAAAAATCATTTTCCATCACTCTGTCACACGAGGTTCCGTGCGATTTTGCTGGCTCTCGAACTTATGATGACTTGCGTCATCGGCTCAATTTTTTACTCGATAATGCATTTTACTTTTCAGAACGATTACTTTTATAAAATCAAAAGATTTTCTGAATATTTTTAATAAATAATTTTGATTAAATTAAAAAAATAAAATGTAGGAATTGCTTATCTACACAAGGAAGACTATAAATTCCAATTAATTGCATTGCAAAAGTTAAGATAGTTTATGCAGTGAGTACTTCAGGATCGAGCACATTCGAGAGCTTCTAAAGCTTCCAAAAATAGATCGCGTGGCAGCTTCTAAATACTTATCTAAATTTCGTCGTATACGAAGGCAACTATTCGAAGACACATGCGCAATTGGTATGATTACACGTACTTTTTTTATTTACGCGTGCTTGATGGAAGAACTAAAATTCTCGCTGAGCTCAAAAAGATGAATAAGAGTCTATCGGAATTGTATATATTAAATTTTTATCGCAACTTTCACGATTATAATTTAATAATATAACTTTGTAGACTTTATTCTATTTTCAGGAAATTCGAAAATTTTTGCTCCAATTTTTTTTTCCTTTACAGTTTACGAGAATTGTTCTTGAATTTTAAAATATATCTAAGCTCTGGAATTAGCAAAATCTTAGGCTTTCGCCAAACATATATTGCCGAAAAGTTCGTTCGTGAAATTATCGTTATTATTTAATAAATAATTAATTTAATGTTATTAATATTATCTTTATCCATCGGCCGTCTTTGAAGAAATTAATTTTTGGATTTTAGGCTTAAACTCTGAAGATAACGTTTGCAAAAATTTAAGCGTAAGTTTTATATTCGAATTAATTTGCCATGTACTACTAATCTCGTTATCTTTTAATATATTAGTAATAACTATAATCTGGCATACTAACTTTTGTTATCTTCTGATATATTAATATAGCTAATTAAAACCTGAGTATATCCGCTCGGCTTGACAAGGCATTAACGATCCGTTATTTTATTTTACGTTCGTCAGAAATTTATCAATTATCAAATACTGAGATATCGGACAAGGTTCTGCCGAAAATAATTCGACAAATAAATTTTTATAAAATATGAAGAGGGAGGGAGTCTTGATATATTTGATGATTAGTCTTAATTTCTTAACGAAAAGGCGAGATAAAAAAATGACAAATCGTTAATGCTTTGTCAAGTAAATACTGCGACCGTCCGTCCTTGTGAGACTCATCGGCGGACTGGTAGGTCGAAGATTGCGTTCGGTGGAATATACTTTCAGACGACCACAGCCTCGTAGGAATGCCCTTTCGACAGCTCTAATTTGTGCCCGTCGCTTGCCGGAAAAATTATATAATTTATGACTTCCTGTAAAAAAATGCAATATGTTATTCGAATATCCGTAAATGGTCTTATTAATATGAACCGAGATATGCGCTTTGAATAATTAATGTTTTTCAAATATGATAGTTGCGTTCAGAACTTCATTGCAAGTATTTGAAATATAATGTACATAATGTGAAATATAGTTATATGTAAAATATAGTTTATTATTGATAGTGAATCAGAATTTTGTAGCTTATATTTGCAAATTATTTTGAAAACAAGTTATTGAGAAATATCTCAAAAATCTTTCCTTGATTGATATCTGATATAATTACATATCATTATATAAATGCGATTTAAAAATTCTTAGAGAAAAACAGTTTTAATTATCTGATAGATTTCCTCTAATGATACATACAAGCAATAATTAACGTGATCAATTACCATGATCGTCCGTTAACTGCGCTCATAGCCACATAAAAATTAGTCTTACTACGATCAGGGCGCGTCGAAATCTTGATCTCCGACCAGGTACAGAAATTGAAAGGCAATCGCAAGCAGGCTGATCCCGAGCAAATCACCCATCGCGGTCAGATATGGGATAGCCGAGTTGTCGGGATCGATCTTTCGTTTCCACATCCAGTGGATCATTATGTAGGCGATGTAGAGGAGCGCCGCGACCTGCAGCATCGCCGCGCAGAGGTAAACGAAGACGAAGAGCGGCGTCATCGACGTATTGCCGTCTTTCATGTAATTGATCAGGTAAATGAAGATGATGTGGCCCGGTATCACCATCATCATCAAGACCCTCGTCGTCCTGGCGTGCATACCTGAAGGAAGCAAATGACGAGCATGAAGGAGCATCCTGATGACGAGAAAAAATTCTGATTACTTATCGAGGAATGAAAGAATACCTTTCCCGAAAAAATTAGCGATAGGAGTGATGAAAATGACGGGATGCGTATGACCCGGTGGAATTAGAAGCGTGCCAAGTTCGGCTTGCTTGTGAAGCGCCGTTGATATCCTGCTAGCTTGGACGGCCACCAGATTTCCGCCGACACCGTTGATGACTGGTTGAAACACCGTCAGGTTCTCGAAACGCGACACCATGAATTCCAGTATGAGACCGCCGCAACTGTATAGAAAATTTTGCATGAAATATGACATAATAAAGTAGTAGGCAATCTAACAATAGACCTTTGATAGATACATTATTCATCGGCAAAACTCCAAGACTATAGACTTTCTTTTTTTACCTGCTGATTAACATAGCCACCATGACCGGTGTCCAGCCAAAGTAGAGCACGTCGTTGGTATACTTGTTCTTCTTGGCAATCCACACCCAGAGCGGTGTCACTAGGATGTAGCAGGCTATGACGAGGGGCGCTACCCAATCTTGCTTGTCTATACATTCGTAGAGCACGGTGGCGATCCAAGAGAGAAGTGCCAAGGACGTGATGTCGCCAAGACTGGCGGCTATCGGCGTGGCCACGTTATCCGGATTGATATGGCAATGACGGGAGAAGACGATTACGCCCGCGGTAATAAGGCCCAGAACAAAGGAAGCGAGGGACGCGGTGACCAAACTGCTGGCGCATAAAAGATAGGCGTGATCCAAGGAAACCGTGCCATTGCGGAAGGCACCCATCACGATCGCCACCACGGAACCCAGGAAGCCCACCACTATTGCTTGGCACTACAAGATTGAGATACATTTATGTTTATAAAGCAACAGATCTACTGCATGTATATAATAAAAATTTGTAAAGTGAGAGAAACAGACTTTCTTACTTATTTCTCTTGAATTTTTTTATGCTTGCTTTGAAGAAGCATGGATGATTATAGAGTTTAAAATTATATAAAATTTTAATAATATTTAATTTATAAAATATTTAGAGAATTTTGTGGAAAAAATTTAAAAAATGATAGGATATATATATAAAAGAAAAATGTCAAGAAGTTTGATATAATATGATTCTTTATATTCTGTGGGGAAAATGTTCTAATTTTATACAGAAATTTCAAAGATACATCAGTTTATCTCGTATAGATATTGATTCACGATATGGAAATACACGTATCGTTTAAAGCGCGATGTTTTATGAAGTAACCAGCATGTGCTCACAAAAGATCAGCAAACAGTCGGCTTCGAAGGCCAAATAAAATCGTGGCGCCAGTATGATAAGACGGCCGGAGTGCATAGCTCAATTTGCTAAATCGAATGGCTAGGAAAAACGTTGCTTACTTTCTTAGAATTGTGTCGCCGGCTCGTTTCACAATTAACTGTTAACTACTGATCAAATTAACGCGTCACATCATAGTATTCTCTGGCAATTTACGATTTCCAGGATGCATCAACAATGACGATCGTTTCATAATGGGCAAATAGCAGCAATTTATTGTAATGTGCCAATTTCATCAATTTCATCAATTTATTGTCAATTAGCAAAGTCACGAGAATATCGTGCCACTGATTTAAAACTAATGAAAATTCGCTAATTTATTAGTAGAAAAGGTTGAACTTGAACTTAAAAAAAAACGTAATGCGTGCACCCGTGGATATATTTATGATGCTAGATGATAAGAAATCGGATGATTAATAGCGCATAACTTTTCCGTGTTCTTTGTCACACAGTTGTTTAACTAGAAGCAAACGTGTGATCGAAGAACGTCGATTAGAACAAAGTACTAGAGGTTTCAAGGAAAAATTATACGATATAGAATTATGTGTTTGGCAATGTATTTAAGTTATGACTCCTTTTCGCATGACGAATGGTAAATATCGGTGTTTAATTGTGGAATATCTAGTTAGAACCAGTTTCGCTAAAGTAAAGTCTGAACTTAAATACGAAAGGACTGATGGAGTATATCTTGTTACATTGCTTGGTTCGATCTAGAGCGTTAGAATATGTATTATCAGAATAATGCTCCGTTGACGATTTGTGTTTGATTTCGCGTATATTAATAATTGCAACTCAGAATTAGATTATTAAAGAAATCAAATTTCTTAACGGTTGTATCAGAAAAATTCATTTATATTCTGTGATAGAATCATCTATTATTCTCACCTGTATTAAGACGAGATTCCCAATAATCATGTGCCATTGCTCCTTCGGCATGTCCATGTGTCCGAGATTCGCTTGAGTAGAAAGACGCGACGCCAGGGTCATTTCTAGATTACCCTTCAGTCCTAAAAGTGCTGGTACCAGAATCATGAGCTCGTTGACCTTCTCAAAGACTACCCAGTGCTGCAAATAAATGAAAACAAAGATTTGTTAACAATGTAAAGTTTTGAAAATCAAGCTAATTTGAAATAAATTGACTAATTACTTGGACCAGGTCGAGAACCAATCCTGCGCCCACCATGCCCAGGCCGGCGATGAGGAAGGGTATGAAGACCTGGATGGTGATCGCCAATACGACTCGAGTGGCTCGTTCTCGTCAGCCACACCGTAGATTTTACTCTCGGCGACGACATCCGGCAGCCGGCCGCCATCGGCACCTCGTCGAAGATGGTCACCTCGAAGCTGTTGTCCTCGGTGTTGTGTCCGCTACCGGTGGTGGAGTTCACCGAAGCTGTCTGTCCATTGGTATTAGTTTCCTTCGATTCGGAAGTGGTCCGCGACCGGCCATCGGTCGGTGTCATCCTATGGGAGTTCTGCTTCTCCGGAAGCAGGGGCTCCTTACATTGCTCACTGCCGACAGAAGGATAGTTTCTCATTGATGTCGATCAGATGACTTGAAGGATACTCATTAATCTTTTGTGACAATCGTCAATGGATGGTCAAGGCGAAACGTTACGATTTATCAACACTTTCGAACGAAATCGACTTATCAATACCTTCGTACGAAATCGATAAATGTGTAATTCTACGATTCGGTGACGGAATAATGAAATATTATGTCACGATTATATGGTACATTTGTCTTTTTGATTTCGAGCTGTAAAATTAAAAATGATTAAATAGAACATCGATATAAAGCAGCTCTTGATACAAGTTTTCTATTACAATTTTTAATTTAATCACAGTTTAATATTATTTTATTTTTAAATCATATATTGATTGCAATTTTTACTTGCCGATCGATTATCGCACTGAGTTTCGTAGTCCAAGTCAGGTAAGACGCGTGACAATTAAGATTCGGGTGATGAAAAAAATAAAAACCCTAATTTCGATTAAACAATTCGAGACGAATCGATGCTAGATGAATGAGCGAGTGTAATTAGTTAATTGTGGCACGTGTAAAATGTGTAAATCCATAATTAATCCCATCGTACGATTTTATTTGAACACCGTCACCTAACAACTTCAATCGTTTATGCGCTAAACGTGGATCGCGCATCGTTGCACATTTTGCAATGTTTTTGATTCGAAATTTTTAATTCTCGTTACGTGAGATACGTGAGGCGCACGATATATTTTCTGCACAATATTTTTGAACATACTTTTCGAATTTGATGCCGGTATTGGCGGTCTGGGACGGTTGTGACTTGTCGGGCGGCACTCGTACCGGATGTTGATGCACCTGGCCCTCTATCATCTTCCTACTGAGGGCTGCGTGAAACTCGTTGCCGCGAATATATAGCCATTCTCCTTTGAGAATGATAAGGCTCACGCCGTCGACGACGGCGACGACGACGACGACGACGACGACGACGACAGTTGTATTTCAGGACGCAAATAATGTAAATTACGTAATTATGCCGGAGAAAGAGCCACTATCTCCCTCTTCTCTTTCTCTCTCTCGTCGATTAGATTCTTTTGAGAAACTGCTGTCGGCTAATCACGGCGAAAATCAAAATATCAATCAGCGATGTGCCAGAAGAAAGGTAACTGGCCTCTTCCTGTGGAGGATCACTGTCAAAGAATCGTCATGTTAATCTAATCGTAAGTTTAGCAGACCACGTAAAATACTATAATCAGAATCTCATAAATTCATTATTTAAGAAGACTCAAAGCCTGTTTAATAATATATTAGCAAGGATAAATTAATAATACCATTTTCTAATTTTGGAGAAAATTAATATCTTCTCAATGTATCGATATATATTTATTAAATAATTTTCCGCAGATAGACATTTATAGAAAAATGAAGATTTATTAACGTTTTTCGTATCGATAAATTTAATTCTTTCATAGCGAGAATTGATTGATTATTTATTTAGATATTATTTCTAAATTTTTGCCTAAGGAAGACATTATGAAATAATCTCGTCATTATGTGCTGAAACTGTTCTACATAATTCCGTGATTTGCGTTGTATTTGTGAATAAAGTTATCGCGTATATCAAGCAGATAATATCATGAATAAATGTTTCATACGAGCCACGTTTGCCGTTAATTAACATCTAACATGCTCAATTTCCTCCTGCTTAAATTACGTCTCGGAGTTAGTATAATAATCTATTTTGCAATATTACTACCGTGAACGCATTTTACATTGATTATATTATAAGTCGCGTGCATAATAAGCGAGATAATATAACCGCGCGTTTTAATAAGTCGTTCGTGATGCAATGATTCATTTAATTTTCTTCTCATCTTCGTCTAGCAATAATGACGATCCAACTGCAGATTGATTTCTCACGCGGGCCTCAGATTTGGCAATCAATATCCGAAATTTGGAATTGTCGCATACGAAAACGTCATGACGGTAACGATAACGATGTTCAATCGCGTGGGCAGCCTTACGCGCGGAAATTAAGATTATAAATTGCTCAATCAAGGCCAGACCATGCGATTGTTTCATTAAAAAAACAACTTTGCCTTTACAAGTAAATGTAACATCGATACTTCGAGGAAACTAATATTGCATTATGAATTAAAATAGAGGAAAAATTTTCATACATTATAAAAACGTAATAAATAGACGTAGAGTTTATTTATTCCGAAATTGAATATTTAACTGTCTGGGTCAGCGATTGATTTTCAAATTGTCTTCTGTCTTTTCCGATTTTTTCCTCTACTCATTCTTATATAATATATAAAATTTGAAAGTCTGCAATTCTCTTTTTAAAATTTAGTCTCTCGCAAGTGTATTTAATTATAGATAGATTAATCAATATATTTTTGCGACATTTATAATTTCCTTTTATTTCTATGTCAAGTAGAAAGAAGATTTAGAACGATCGATATAATTATGCTGCAATTTTCGATAAGGATCAATGTTAAATATCGCGAACTGTTGTTTGATCGATCGCGCGATCGCATTTGATATTCATTGTCTGATCAGCTGTTCTTTGCATCACGCATCGACCGACTAGTGAGGTCTGGAAAGCATGTTTCGTTTAATTACACGAGTTCTTGTAATCTTAACTTATGTCCAAGTCATCGGAAAACTTTGATGCATGGAATTCTCTGCCGCTTACCTGCATTTCGCATTCGTCATCGTTTTTCGAATTGCCGATAAACAAGTGCAATGACCGAATAACACTTACGCAAATGGGATTTTGACACGTGCGTTTTCGTTCGGCGGTTGAATGTATTTAATTTAATGACTTTAGCTCGTTTTAAATTTCGAAAAAAATGTTCAGAAATATGTTAATAAGACTTATCGACGATTATTTATCTATGTATTTGCAATACCGGTTATCTATCCGAATCCAGCATCGAGGTAACGCCCTGATAGGAAAAAATCGCGAGAAGCTAAAGAATCTACTTAAAAAAACAGCGATATAAATTTATTTTTCAACATATTAAAAAAATCAATTAAAATTTAATTTTAAAAAATTTTAGGATCTATTTTTTTCCACACATTTTCTTTAAAAATGGATTAAAGATTGCTGAATTCAGTTTTTCAATCCTTCTTACTCCATCGCTCTGATTCTATTAAATTCCGAAAAACATGCTTCGCAAACAATTCCATTTTGTTCATGACATAGAACTTTAAACGATGTTTAAAAATTGATCCATACTCGCTGAATATCAATCCGCGGAAATTGCTGAATAAATGAGGAGTTGACGAACCTCGCCTCTAAAGCAAATATTTGGTCATAAAAGTATCTCGCGTGAGTTTTGACTTCGAAGTTCGAGTGTCGCTTTTCCGACCCTTCCGCCCGTACCTGATTCCTCAGGCGTGGTCCCAGACGGACCCCCGACGATTCCCAAGGACGAGGACCCACCGTCGGACCCCCTTCTGTGTCGCAGGTCGCTGATCGCCGGCTTCGGTGACCGGTGATCGGTTCTTCAGCGCGAGATCAGCCTACGTCGAGCATCTGATGGCGGTCACCCGATGGCCTGGTGCGAGGCCGTCTCACGCTGCGGTTACATCGCGACTGATCGCGATCGTGCATCGTGTCCGCGTGCATGCATGCCTCCTTAAAACTAGTTTGGGGGATACATGTGTCTTTGTACGTGCATATATGTATGCGTGTGTCTGTGTCTGTGTGTTGCGCGCCGGACGGAGCAGACGCACGTTTATCGATCCGAGCCACTTTCCAGTCAGTCCGCAAACTCGATGCTACTCCGGTCTGGTGTCTGTACACCAATAGCGAACCCCTATCGTCATTCCCAGACGTCTAGAAGGGTCGTCTTCGTGCGAGAAATCCTATCGTGACGTCACTTGGGACGACCCACAGTTACGTCATCGTTCCGGTACAATTCGAATCGCGTTGTGTTATCCATCATTATTATTTTAAGCTCTTTGTGTGAGTTTATCTATTCTCCAGCATTTTCTAAAAATACCGGGAAGACCGCCTACGCGTTGGAAATTCTAGTGACATTGACATTACCTCGTCGTGTCGATTCAGAGAATGCATTCAAATTGCATTCTATTATTATGGTTTTCTCTCTATAGTTTGTTCTCATTTTCTTTAATCTGAGAGATTGGTTTTTTATATATTATAGAAAAATTAAATAAATATTTTAAAAATATGTGAGCACACACAAGATGATAAAAGAATAATTAAGTATCGAATAACTAATCGATATTTTCTCTCTCATCATTTTGCTAATAGGCATCTTAATCTTTTTTCAACAATTTCTAGAAATTTCTTAAATGTGTGCAATGTGACGAGCAATGTTCTATATCTTTTCTTGCAAGTGACGTCACACATATGGCGCTTATATATAGACATTGTTACGTCATCAATCACCAGCTGATACACATAAAAATTTCTGATTCATTCATGAGTTTACGGCGCACAACGAGTTGTAAAATTATCTTCATTTTCATAATTTTCGTAATTTAGCGATTTGCTTTTATGCGTTGTAATCCAATGATAACATTAATTTATTCCAACAACAATATTCCGTGATTTTTTATGCTCTGAATTCATTAAAGCGTCATAAGGATTATAAGCGCATATATTAAAACATAATTATACTATCGATTACAGTATCGTACAGATTGCATTGCAAGTAGCATTGAACAAATTTTTCTTTTATGTTAACGAATTTTTCAATTATAATCGATTATCAATAAAATAATTAGATTTATATTCCATAAATCTTATAATTAGATACTAATTCCTTAATGTTATTCCACTTTTTTCTCTAAGACTTCACTATTACATCATTTTAGATCACATTCTACTTTTGAAACGACTTTCGCAACTGTCAAATTAGTGTTCTATTTTTTTTATTGCGTTTTCTGATATCCTTGTTTCATCATATCTTTTTTGCCTTTTAATTTCGATTTTACATGCGCAGTATCGTATTAGCACTACGTCGATAAATGTATTGACCGTGAACACGATGGGAAAAAAGCATATAATTGTGTCGATCGATTGCTCGATAACTTATGTAAACTGGAATTCAAAGGAATTACCATGAAATTAACGAGAGATGATGCAATTTTGAATGAAACCATATTATGTATAAATAAATTGAACTAATTTATTTTTTTTTTCAGAACATGTCACATAAATTTCTCCTGTTACGTTCCACGAAGAGGTTGAAATTACAATCTCTATCGATCTAATGCCTCATCTCTCATTCAGCGTAATCCTTATTTAAAGTGGAGCGGTGTAAAATTCGCTCATGACAGTCAGTCGGTCAATGACGGGCGAATTCACTGGCCCGTCTATGACCGTATCCTGTGTAAGAGCGACAATCCAACCATTCGTGACGCGATAATTTGTATTCTGGTAACTTGAAGATTAGGTCATACGCGGTCTCATTTTTTTTTATTATTGCTTCGCTGAAACGTTTGTATATTTTCTGTTCTTGCAAGCACTTGACGTCATAAAGATACACGCGAATCGATATCACGAATGAATGAAAAAAATTAATCAGTGTCTCATTATGAGAAAATATGTATACAAGTAAAATCTTTGAAAAAATATGAAAATATTAAAGCCGTATAATAATAATGTAGCAAAAAATAAAATTGTTGAAAGAATCTACATATGGTTTTAGTTGGAATTTAAACGTTGCATGTCTGAGATCGAGAAAAGATATTTAAGATAAAAATGTAAAAACTACGATGAGATCGATAAGTGCTAAAAAACCCGATGATCGTATCTCTAACGACTTTATTAACAACACGCGATTATTTGCAATTTACATCTTGATATGAATAACATTCGGTTATTCCATGAAAAATGTGACAAATGTGTTTACTCATTTAATTATGCAAATCCCAGCTAACGCGTATACGATATCGAGTAGTGATAAGCTTGCAGAATACTATTCACTTAACGTGATCACTTCGATCAACAAGACGAAGATCTGCATCGTCTAGATTTAGCAATTGTCACGAATCAGTGCTACACTGTTAATATTATAATTACTAAGTATTTGAGATATCGTCTTACGAATTCGATCAAGTTTCCTTCTCATGATCAGATATCATTCTCTGGCTACCCTTGACTCTGGCTACTCTTGACTATATCTCCTTCAGTTAAGTCACTTGTTCGATCCATAATCTTCAGCTTATACGTGGAGAATTTTATAATACAAATTACATTTTAAAAAAATATTCATTTACAATCTATCGTAAAGCTGAAATATAATATTAAGATATTTGTTACTATAAAAATTGTAAGTTATGCATCTGATCTATTGTTTGTTAATGATTATGCAATAATTTGTGTATCAAAATATTCAAATACTGCTTTGTAAAATATACTATGTATATAATATTATTAAAAATGAAAATGACTTTTAATTATTAAATATTTCTACGTTATATATGTGTTTCACATCACATTATAATTTTTCTATATTTTCTCCATGTAAATATACAGAAATTCGTCCATTCAATAGGACCATTGGATCTCCTCGCGATTTTGCTTTGCATTGCGAAATTCACACTCGAATTGACAGTATAAACCGATGTCTTATCGAGTAATGTAATAAACATTCTCGCTTCTGTATAATTATAGGTACGATGCGTGCACGAAATCTTATGTCCGACAATAGCGAGGACGATAATACATTGCGGTTGCAAGAGCAGCAGAAAAACATTATTAACAACATTTCTATGACACACTGTGTTCGATCGTTTAGACGCTACTCTATCGTCTGTTTGTTGCACAACTTTTGTTCGATAATGTTTGGAAATTGTTCGGATAATTTTTTTATTATCGTGGTAGCGCAAAGCGCACTAATTTTATAGACGTATACTTTTAAGTGGAACGTAAAATGAATAATAATCGAGAGAGAATTATAGAGATCCCTTTTTTTAATTCAGACTATTTAAAACTTAAAGTAAAATTTTAATTTTTATTATTTTGAATTCAACAATTTGTTTCAAGTATAATGTCCAACATTTAACTTCGTGCTTTATTGAAGTCAATTTGCAATTGATTCAATCGACTCTAATCATATATTTCTATCTCATTGTCAGTCGACCAAAGGCTCTTCAATTTTTAATCATTTCTAATTTTAAGATTTTTTCAATATATTCTTCTTTTTTTGCGATTCTTTCGAATCGTTTTTCTTCTTTTAGAGAATATTTTATTTAGAATTTAAATTAATTAAAAAATTTAAGAAAAAAAAATAATATGATAGTTTTAAACCAATAGTTTGCTATACTGCTATATATATTTTCTTAAATTTTGTTTTGCAGAAGATATTTTTTAAAGCGATCTCTCTCTCTAATTCTTTCGTAAGCGTAGGTTTAGATTTATATTCGACTTAAAACGGTATAATTGGTCTGCTCGCACACGCATACCTTTCGTGGTTCCTTTTGAAGCGCCGATTACGTAAGGTCCGCTCTTGACTTGACAAAGGTCGACATTGAAACCGGACTTGAATGAACCTGGTGTAACTGGAACGCATTCAAATACGCGACGATTTTCCGCGGCAATTTCAATAAAACAGCATACCCACATGTAATTTATAGTCGCGTACGTAGATTCTCTCCTGTCTGTATAAATAGAGATATGAGATTTTATCCCGACACCCGATCTGTCTCGTTAGGTCAGTATGTCACTCGCTTCTCATTCGTTATCAACGTGCATTATAGGCATATGTGTTATAGATATGAAAAAATAGCACGATTACATACATATCAGTGTTACGTATTTACAATTACAAGTGTCATTATTTTCACGTGACTAATTTAGCGTTTAAGAAAGAGAACGAATTTAACGCTAGAATATTACATAAAAAATATTGTATATATGCAAAATAAGTTATTATTCTACAAATATAAATATGCATTTGCTAAGACTGTGCTGCTTATATAAATATGTTGAATATTTTAAAAGTTAATATTAGCACTTTGATACTTTTTGCCGCAGATAGACCACATACAGCATAAAAAATAACTAAATAATTTAAAAAATATTATTCCGAAATCTCTTTAAATCTCGTTAAGTCAATATGTCACTCGCTTCTAATTCATTAATTATAAACGTGCATCATAGAAAAAAGTGTATTAATGTGTTATAATGTTATTTGCAATTATAATTTTCTCTACAGTTCTCGTAGTATCATAACATAAATAAATAATTTGAAAAGCAAGAAATAAATTATTACAAACAAAAAATAAATTATTGTAATAAAATATAAATGTGTACCATGTGTATCAATCTGTCATTATGCAATCCGAATGAACAGTGATAAATTAAATGTTAGGTTTTAAATTCTCATTAGTGCGTGGTGATATGACTGACTTATAATATAATTGACATATAGATTTGTTAAATTCATTAAACTGCTCCAAGCATCGATGGATTGCGTATGTTTTTCACTTGAAATTCAACATGACAAGATTCATTTTAACTTAATTGATGATGATGGTGCTTTAAACGGAGCACGATCATCATCAATTAACTGATCATATGTTTGGTCTTGCAATTCAGATTAAATGTTAATAGTTATTTTGCCATTTATTCAGACTAATTGTACTTATTTCATTCCAAATTTTCTCATAGTACAACAAAATAATATAAAATAATTTAGCAAAATTTATAATTATTTTTAAGAAAATTAATTTAACTGTCAAGTGTAAAGTGCGTTTGCAATTTAAATTTATTCTGAGAAATTTATGCAGCAATATAAATGATTTATTCCAAAAACTTCGTGAAATGATAGATTTTTGCAAGCTGCGACAAAATGTATCTTGAAGCCAAATATATGTATATAATCCCGAATAACTCATTTAATTTTTTAGAGGCTTCTAATTACGCTTCCAATAATTCGACAAATATTATACCGATATTGAATCCTTTCATTGTATAAGTACTCTTTTATTGTTCTTACGTGTACCACCTACGTATCGTAAACACGTTAGCGAACAACAATACGAGCATCACTGAGACAGCATTACGCAAGCGCTACCTTATACTTGCTTCTTCAATTACGGACCCTTATACCGTATAATAAAGCCGAGTACACAAATAACACACGATGGAGCAACTAAACGGGAAACATGATTGTTCCGTTAAGTAAACTCATCATTGTTAAATCTCCATAAACTTTCCGCAGGTATAAGACAAGTAAAAAATAGAGTATGTGAAAAATCTAGCATAAATAATGCAAAATTGTAAATTGTTCAACTGTGATTTCATTTAAAAGTTTAATTGAAATTTCAGTAAAAAATTAATAGTTGAAATATTTAATATACTGATTAATAAGCCGATTAATTGAATCCGCCTTGTGCTCTCGTTCTCCAATTGCTTTCTCGACAACATATAACACGATAGGTAGCGATTAGACCGATTTAATAACAATACACAACAGTTATCAATTTTGAGTTACGTCGGTGTCTTTTTGATGAAACTCGCGACTATTTTACACAAAGTGTTATCGCGTGCAATTCAAGAGGATCTCTCGACGCGAGCTGGACCACACGCGAGCGATTTGGCGCTGTCGTCTTCGTCGTGTGATATTTTTACACACGCTCGTCTCGGCCACGCGTTCCTCATCGTCGTTATTCTATACACACTGCGCTAAAAAAAACTAAATTCTCATTCTTACTCTCTCATCAACGTATCGTATCAAAATGGGACATAGACTAACATATGTATTACATATGTAATTGCCACAGGCAGGTACAGATAAGACATTTTTACGAGCACGTCACGTATTATTTATGTATCACGTAAATCATAAATCTTCAAATTTTATACTATCGTTTGAATTTTAAATTTACTTTAATAATAAAGATAAGAGATTTTTACAACACGTTGCCCTTGTGTGTGTATTAATTCTTCAACTTTCATCTCTAATTAGTCTATTTAGCTAAAATAGAGATTGGATATTTCACGAGCAAGTATTCTTATATATTTTATATTTTATATCGCTTAATATATCGTGACACCTCTTCGTATCTTTGGATACCGCGCATCATTGTATGTACATGGAAATTAAAAATTGTATGTCATAGTATCCTGCATCGATCTTATGTAAAAATGGATCTCGGTTAAATCAGCTGATTTTTTCATATATGTTGTAACTTATCACCTGCTGAACAAAAGATGTAATAGCTGCAAAGATAAATAATGGACATAATTACTGAGTTACAGTCAGTCTAACAGCTCGCAAAACCTGAATTTTTCGTATTTAACTAGCTATAAATCAGTAATTGTCCATTATTTATCTTTGCAACTATTATATTTTTGTTCAGTAGATCATAAGCTACAATATTTAAGAAAACCAGCTGATTTTATCGAGATTTAATTACATCTAGGATGTCATATAAATTCAAAAATTCCGCATTAAAAAAATCCTATATAAAATTGAATCTTAGTCAAATCTGCTAGTTTTCTTATATGTTGTAGTTTTTTATCTACTGAACAAAAAATGTTACATCCTCAAAGTTAAATAATAGATATAATTACTGATTTACAATCGCAGTCAAACACGAAAAACTCGGGCTTTGTGAGTTGTTTGACTGTCTGTAACTCAGTAATTGTTCATTATTTATCTTCATAGCTACTACACCTTTTGTTCAGCAAATCATGAGCTGCAACTGAGCTACTATGAAAAAACTAGCTGATTTAACCGAAATTCACTTTTACATAAGATTAGCGCGGGGTGTTTTCTACCTCGTTATCAGTGTCCAAGTGGATTGATTGTTAGCAGAGCAGCAAATTTTTCCGTTTTCGCGCTTTACATCGGGACGCTTTTCCATCGACGAACCCGCTCTCCGGGCGACACGAGCGCCTAAGCGCTTCCGTAACATATTCGTAGATTGATAAATTACTCCACGTGTTTAAGTTCGACCATGACGGGCAATAACTTAACATACCGCTCTGATACCTCGCCTCTCCCGGTGTATCTTATCCACCAGGCTGTCGCTCGCTTGCGCGCCGCGATTATTTTATTTTCGTCGCCGGATGGAGATCTCGCATGCGAGGTGCAAGTTTTTCGCGCGGGTGGTCTCTTTCTCTTTCTCCGATATATATTTATCATTATTGTTGTACTCACACAATGGTCAGCTGCACCGGATGATGATGATGATGCGCTTGCTCGTCGTCGCGGCCGAAGAGTCCACGGTGCCGCTTTGCATTTTGACGATCGCGCACATGCGAGCACTCATTCGATTTTCGCTTGATGGTCCATGCAAGGAAGCTGCACGAGAGATGGGTGATCTCGTCCCGATGAACTTGCTTGCAATTTTTTACCCGCCGAAATGAACGTTCAAAACGAGCATTCCGCTTTTCTCTGGGTTTAATCTGATGGAAAGAAGCCCAGAACGATTGGAATGCTGACATAAATTATGTCGCGATCGTCCAAAACCAGTTATCGTAATAAATCCGAAGTTCGCGAACGCCACGAACTGAAAAGAAGCCGGTGACGACTTTGCAGTGACTGGGATCATTCTTCGATCCAGCATTTCAGCTTCTAATTATATTTAGTATCCGAGATTACGGCGCATTTTTCGTTAATGATTGTGTTATCGCGCGGTCGATTAGTTCATTTTCGTTATCGGCCCTCTTTCCGTTCTATCATTCGACAGAAAATTTTGCAGAATATTAATGACAATTACATTAAAAAAATAAACAAATAAAAATAAATCCCGAAGACAAAACGCGCAAGAATTGAAACTAATTTATCAGCGAGTCCCTAGAAACAGTAACCCTTGCCACTTTTATAATTCAGCGATTAGATTATAAAAGTAGTTCAGGGTCGATCTGAATTAAAAGGTATATGTGTCCAGTCGTATTTTTTTTCTTGACACTCTTTTTGGCCGCATTTAATATAATAAATTCCCTATTCAGAATAATACAAAATAATACAAAAATATACTCAAGTTTTGCACGAAAATAACAGGAAAAAAAATATTGTAAAAAAATGCCGTTCTCTCTCTACATCATTCAACCAAGCTATACATTTTGAGACTATTGTATTATATATAATTGAACATTGTTCTCATTCTTTAATGGTGTACTCGAAAAACATGGTTTTTAAAATGATTTTCTCCGTTGACAATTGCAAATACCGCCGAGCTTTTTTACGCGTCCGCAGCATCGAGAATCGAACTCACCAAGATTAGAGCGGTTTCGAGCCTTGAATGATGCGCGACCTTTAGGTCGGACTAATATCGCGCTCTCTTTTCGCGGTCACTTACTATGCCTTACGCATAACGTGTACGGACGATTTAGATAAGATCTAAAAGAGATGCACCGTGTACGCCGGGAACGACGCGATAGTTGGCACTGACAGATCCAACTATTTCATTCACAATCGTCGTCGTCGGGCTTGACCGCGTAAATCGTCATCGTCGTCGTCGTCGGGCTTGACCGCGCGAAACGTCGTCGTGTGCGTGTGGACACGACGACGTGGATGAATGAACCGCACACACGAAGAGAGACGATGAAGCGCGCGAGCGGCGCGATTACGGTGTAGGTGGTTACGAAGCGAGAACGAAGCGGGAGGATGTGTGACGGGGCTCTAAACTGCAGCCGAGAAGACACGGATCCTGTTGCGTCGTGACCGGTGCACACGTACTCAAGCCTGTATATCTGTATATACATACATGCGTGGGTGACATGTTTCGGTGTGTAAATTGGAGAAAAAAAATGATTTGTATCAATATTTCAATAAAAGAAATACGATGAAATTCGTACAAGTAGTATGATATAAAAATATCAGTTAAATTCGAAGATACGTACACACACCCGCGCACTTACAGTTAAATATTAGTATAATATAGACTATTATTATATATATACAGAGAAAGAGACTATCTGTAAACAAATATTTAATATTTTACAATAATACATGTACTTGAATATTCATTTTGAATTATTTAGGATATTTATATGTTTAATTATTTAAAATTATCTTATTTTTCTATGTATCCGCAGACACACTTATTGTGTCTAACATAAATAATAATATAATATAATAAATCATCCACATCATGAAGAGACTTTATCCTCTCATACAAACGTAACAAATCGTTGTTAGATTTTTCATATAGTGTATATCGTAATATATATATATATAAGTAAATCTTTATCATACTATATCATTACTTCGGACTTGTATAGTCATCATATTCGTTTTAGGCACTAGAAAGTGTTAATAAAGTTTTAATACTTTATCTTCCTAGCAATAACTTTTAAAAAGGGATTAATTTGAATAATATATTGCATATCAACAAAATATTATTAGTAATATAATGCAAAATTTTCTATATATTAGAATCCCCTCTCAATCTCATAATAAAATCAAATAAACAAATCACATTTAAATACATTATTTAACTTAACAATAAAAATATATAATATTCTCTATATAACAGAAAAGAATTAATTTATACATAATATTTATCTCTCTCATTTTCTTTTGTGATAATAGAAGAAAGAAAAACGATATATATAACTATATATTTTTACATAATTAAATATATTATTATAAATATTAGTTTAATAATATAAAAATTAATATTTTAATAGAAAATAATGTAACATTTTTTATATTTTGCAATAAAAAAATTAAACAAAATATGACACGTTATCCAATTATGTGCAAGAAATAATTATATAATATAAATTTGTTTCTTGCATATTCATTGCATCATATTTATAAATAATGTCTATGCAATATATATATTCGAAAGTCATTTTTTGGCAAAAGAGTTTCACAAAATGCGGCGAGCATTAAAAAGATTTATCAAAAGTTTTAAGTATCAGTATATCCTCCATTCATTTCAATATTATGTCAAATGTCATGACGGAAGATAAATACGATTTCGTACAAATTATAAAAATAGTACGAAATTTTTCTATATTTTTAAGTGTACATGTAGTTGTTAATATTATTGTGCACATTCACTGTGTACTTCATATTTTATAATTAAATCAACTTATTATAGCTCAATATTATGTATAATTCTTTTGATTGAAATAATTAAAAAAATGATTCATTATGGCATTTTATCCTCGAACAAAATATAACATAAAACAGTAATATATGTGCACTTATTTACAACTCATCATAACGTAATTTTTATTATTAATTTCTTATAATTGTTATTTTTGTTATTGTGCAAAAATAACACAATTATCGATAAAATATTGCCAAATACTATACTTTTTTTCGCATACTTTTCTAGTACTTTACTAAATATATGCTTAATTTAGTTTGTACTCTTAACATACTCTTCACAAAAAGAGATGCCAAATGGTTTGTTTCGAGAATAAAACATATTTTGTTTCAAAAAAGCAAAACTCACAGTAATAAAAGTGCCTTTGATAATCTTGAATCACAGTTGACGCCGCGTGTCGCAAACTCTGCGAATTCAAATCAAACTTGCCATTGTAGTTTTTCGAAGAATAGTTTCGAAGATTATACCTGTAACACAAGGAAGGATATTTCTTTCAGAATAATGTACAGATTTTTGGACCGATCAATCTCCTACGTCGGAATCGCCGTCGCCTATGGCATAAAGGATATGGAAAGCAATTCCGAGAAGCGCAGTTCCTATAAGATCGCCAATCGCCGTTAGATATGGTATCGCAGAACTATCCGGGTCCATACCTCTCGTCCACATCCAAACCACCATCAATTGCGCGATATACAACAACAATATTACCTAGCAATGAAATCAAGTGTGTTATTGCTTTTAAATTTTGTTTAATCCAATTTATGTCGCAATAATATAGATTTGTATTTACTGTACCTGCAACATTGCAGCGATTAAATATATTGTAATAAATATAGGCGTGAATGAGGTATGTCCGGCCTGAAGGTAACTAATGGTATAACTAAAGATCAAGTGCCCTGGTATGACCATCATTAATAATACCCTAGCTGTTCTCGCGTGTCCACCTATAATGAAAATTCCTTGTTAAATTGTAATTCGCAATACTTAAATCTTGAATGATTTTTATGACAAACTTACCTTTCGAAAAAAATGCGTGGAATGGACTAATGCAAACATTGAGAGTTCCTTGAACACCCGTGTGACAGTCTTTGTGCAGAGACGTCGATATTCTACTGGCCTGAACGGCGACCAAGTTTCCTCCAACGCCATTAATTACTAATTGAAAAACCGCTATACCTTTATAACTTGATATGGTGTAATCCAAGATCAGTCCACCGAGACTGCAATCAATGTTATTAAATTGAACGTTTGTTTCCTGAAAATTTCTGTCTTGAATGCATATATGAAAATATTCACCTGCTTATTAACATCGCGGATATCACAGGCGTCCAGCCGTAATCCAATACTTCTTTAGTAAATGGATTTCTGGCTGCTATATAACCCCACACAGGAGTCACGAATACGCAAAATGCTATTAGCACTGGAGCTATCCAGGGAGCATAACCTGAAACGAAATATATTCGTTAATTTCTGGAATATTCGAGTATAATAAAAGTATGAGAAGACTAAATCCATTTATATACCTATTGCATTGTATAATAAAGAAGCGATCCAGGATAAAAGAGCTAAAGTAGTTAGATCTCCTAAGGAGGCCGCAATCGGAGTAGCCACATTGTCTGGATTGATATTCATTTGTCGCGACAATAATATGACTGCGACCATCACAAGGCCTAGCAAGAAACTGGCTACAGAAGCAGTGACCAAGGCACTGGCGCACAGTAAAAGTCCATGGTGAATATCGAAATGAGCTTCTGGGACCCAGCCGAGAATCACAGCAGCTAAGGACGCCAGAAGACCTACCACCATAGCTTGACACTGGATTAAAGCCAAATTTCCGACAATTAATGTCCATTGCTGTTTCTTTGTATCCATTTGCCCTAGATTAGCCTGAGTTGACAATCTGGATGCCAATGTCATTTCGAGATTTCCTTTTAGGCCCAATAGTGCAGGAACTAATATGTACACCTCGGATACCATCTGATAGACTGGCCAATGCTAAAATTTAATATAAACATTGTAAAAAATCAAATTTATCTTTCTCTAATTCACATTAAATAATCAGCCCATAAATCGTTAAAAAAAAAAAAAAAAAAAAAAAAATAAACTGCAGATACTATTGATATTTCATTTTATATATCTCTTAACATTATTAAAAAGTATGGATAAAGTTATAGCTTTTATATAAGATTTATAATAAATTATAATTCTAGAGAGTTGATTTTCATACCTGCACCACATCTAGTAGTAAACTAGCGGCAACCATACCGAAGCCGGCGAGTAAAAGGGTATGAACATTTGGATGGATATAGACCAGACGCTTTCGTCGTCTGCGCTTTCGCTCCTTTGACTATCCTTTTTTCCACTGCTGTAGATGATGTTGTCGTTCACCGACGACGGTATCAGCCGCTGTATATCGCCTTTCTCATTGTCATCGCTCTCGTCCTCGGAGCTGATTTCCAATTCCATGTTGTTGATATCGTCGAGATTCGAAATGAATAGCTCGTCACTGCCCAATCCCACCATTTTATTTAATAATGAACTGTTCTTTCTTAGCTTTCTACGACGGAGCTTATTATGTTCATAGTAATCTTCTTGTATCTTCGCATGGCTCATCCTCGTTGGCTTTCCTTTTGCAAATCACCGGCGAATGCTACGAAAATAAAATCTTGTTAGTCTTTATAGATTAGCCAAATAAAAATTCGCTTGCATGATTTTTGAACAAGAGAGCTATTTAATGACTCTAATGCTTCATTTCTTTTATTAGATATTATCAGTAGATCCAAATAAAGATAATTTAGTTTCTATTAGATGATGACAGAAAATAGGCTGAGATTAGTATGTCATGATAAGAAACACTTTAACAAAAGCATATACATTATATGTTTCTCAATATTTATATGTATTGTAATACACTATTAATAAAAATTAATATCCATTAAATTATAAAATATGCAAAAATAAAATAAACAATTATTGAAATTTTATGTATGTAAATAATAATTAATATTATAAATAAAATTGCAAATATTAATTATATATGATTATTTTAATGTATACGATTATTTTGTAATATTTGTATCAATAAGCAAAATTTGTAAAACATGGATTTTTTGTAATGTTGACATAGTATAAATTGATGATAGTATAATATAGACTGAAAATAATAGTTATAAATTTTCTGTTATTCTAACTACATTGGTGATGACTTGAGTGTTTTAACTAGAGTCATGTTTAAGCAACAGATACGTTTCGTCACATCTGTTCTAGCCTCGTTCTAGAGCTAATTCTAATTTAGATCTGATGTTAATTTTGTAAACTGATTCCCCTTCTCTCTCCCTTCCTCTGTCTTTCCTTTTTCTTATTTGGTTATATTGTGCAGCCTCATATATTGCATATGTATACTAATGCTTAGAATCATATAAATAAACTCAAACAAACTGTATACACAAATTCATTATAGCAAATCGATTTAACACTCGTATTACAAAAATCCTGATTTTGTGGCCATAATCCTGATATTTGTGTAAAAGTTTTATATGTATGAATTTATCCTTATCATTGTATAAATCTTATAAATGATTTGTGAATTCATTAATTAATAAGCAAATAATAAGAGTAATAAAATTATTTTATGAAAATATTTTATTAATTTAATAATCCAAATATTTAATTATATTTTAATATATTAATTTTTAACCCGAAATTCTTAATATAATTTCTATAATTGTGTTTATTTATTGGAAATCTTTGATTGATAATTTTCAGCATTTGTAAATTATGTAAAAATAATGAAAATAATTGAAACATAATAGTTAACAAATTAACAAGTAATGGTATTTTGTCTATATAATATAGTAATCTTTTCTCATAATATAATATATATGTGTTGATGAACAGTACATATAATATTTTTATGCTCAAATAAAGTTTGAATAAAATTCAAGTTTTGTGTAGTAGTAATCATTACTTCATTTGCATAAGTAATATAAAATTTGTACTTATATTTTATATTTTATTTAATATTATATTTATATTTTGCAAAAATTCTTTCTTTATATATATATATATATATATATATATATATATATATATATATATAAATCTTATTACAATATAAATATTTTATCATACACAATATTTTGTCATAATTATGATTATGCTTTAACATAAATATGTAAATAAAATGTATGCAAATAAAATGACTGAAATAAAAAGATGTAATCAGTTTTTAAGAACATTATATTTTGCTCAAAAGCAAAATAAATTCGACCAATACAATTTCTGTCACTAGATTTTATTATCTGACATCTGAAATCAATTTCAAAGTTTTATATGATAATTTCTCTTTTAGAGAGAAAGCTTTCTATCTCTTTCACTCTTTTTTTTAAATTATTAATATCTTATCTCATATTCTTTAAAACATTGACACTTGTCACGCTATAATCTCGAAGTTTCTTCAATTCCTAATATTTTTACAAATTCTAATTAAAAAATTGCTTTAAATAAAATATTTTAATTTATTTATATAATATTAAAACAAAGTTTATTCTTTTATACTTTGAAATATTGGCAAGTTTAATGCTGTGACCTTCAAAATAAAATTCAACAATCACATCATATAAATGCACACGCATTTTAAGCACAAATGTCTACCATATTTTTCAAATAATCCTTATAAAAGAAATTTTAAGTTTTAAAGCGAAAAAATAAGTTTCTTTATATTTCCAAGTGTTTGACAACCCGGCCGCCATAACCTCAAAGTAATGCCACGTACCTCGAATGCGGAACGGTCTATCTTCGCGTTCGGATCCATCGACTGTACAGAAGCGCGACTTCCGCGTGTACTCAGAATAATAATGATTGATATTTCTTAAAAACGAATAGTCCTTCGACTGCTTTCTACCCCCCAATCCACTGATTATCGTACCACGTACTTATTTACGCGCACCGCGCAGCGTAATTACCTATTGCGTTTACTCCGTGAACAGTATCGCAGATAACTTCGAGACTATCGAACTATCGAAGTCGCGTAAGTCGATACGTCGCTTGCGATTCTCGAAGCGACGAGCGACGTTCGCGCCCATTTCGCCGTCCACTTCCTCGTCGCGGCTGTGCTCGTTTCGTGCGGAGTTTTTTTCTGTGGTTTTAGTGTGTAAAATTCGCGTTGATGTTGTCAAATACGTGTTTTCGGCGAGACAAACGGTGCGGCAAATCGAGCAGATACAATTGAGTGGAACAGCGTGGACATCGGGACGAAAAAAAATGATTCACGAGTTGGTCATAGCTATAGGTGAGTAACAGTTATGAATTCTACGTTCTGAGGGGAAGCTCACACAAAATTCAGAGATTGAGAGCAGTATAAGCCGAATTTATGTAATTGAGAGGAATGTAATAATAAATAATGCAGAATAATAGATATTTTACATGCTACAGATCGAAATGTATATTCTATGTCGTATACACACGTATACACACATATATAACCATACATACACACGTACACACATATACACACACAGACAGAAACACAAGAGAATTTTTTTTGGGGGGGGGAGTTAAATCCCTTCTTGCAAATTAAAAAAAATTCATAGTTGATCCTTAAGTAAAAGCTAAGCATGAAACAAAAAATATTAATTAAATAATTTTGCAACCCTCGTTCCATAATCAATGTCAGGATCCGCTAGTATACACAACATACACACACAAACATGCGTGTATCTTGCATCTTTTCTCTCTCTTTCTCTCTCTACATACATACACATACACACACCTAATTTAATACAGAACGGTTTCTCCTTAAACAAAAAATTTATTTATTGCTATTAGGAATAAAAAATATTTTATTTTACGAAATAAGACTTTTCGTCTACAATTTTATAAATAATAAAAAATAAAATTTTAAAATATATATTTTTTGCATCCCTCTATTAATATTATTATTAAAATTGTTATAAATAGATAAAATTAATATATTCTTCATAATAAAATTATGAAGAAATAAAACAATATTTTAAATTTAAAATAATTAGAAGAATAATTTTATAAGTAAATAATTTTACATTTAAATATATATATATATATATATATATATAAATTAAATTAAAAAATAAAAAGTATAATAATGAAAAAAATGTTAAATTAAAAATTATAATAATATCAAATTAAAGATATATATTTTTGTGTGTTCAGGCATGTAAATTCAAGGCTCGCTGTTGCATCTACTAAGACATTGCTGCGCTTGGTAAGTTTTGAAGCGCTTTTTATTAATTCTCTAAAGAGAGAAAAAGAAAAGGATATAAACTATGTCAAATAAAAATTATAAAAATATGCTTAGCTGTAAACCGATGACCAAAATAACTTGCTACAAAAAATGTATCACGTACTGAAATAATCTGCCAATTTATTCAAATATTTTATTACTTATGGTCAAGTTATTTTGTTTGCACATACTATTTTTTTATACCAAAATTCTGTGGTAATATAAAATTGTGCTTGGTTGGCTGTAAACCGATGATCAAGTTTACAAACTTGCAACAAAAATTTTTATCACGTATAGTTATTTCTATCTGCTAAATAAAAAAGATTTTATTATTTATAGCCGAATTATCTCGTTTGCACATAATATATTTTCTTATATCAATCATTTGTGCGACACGTGTTTCACGATAATCGAACAGTAAACTTTGCATTGAATACATTCATTTCGTCACACAATATTTCTAATAATAACCTGCAGATGTATAGGGCACACATACATACTTATGTCAATCTCTTAAAAGCTCTAATATTTCTATTAACTGTATAAAATATATTATATGCTTACAAATTAAGATGTCACAATTATTTGATCACTTATGTATTAATTGACGTGTATTAGTTGCTCCAAAATGTACGGCTTTGTCGAGAGTCAAACACGAGAGAGTTGTTACTTGAGTTTGTGACTATCCGTCTTCGAATCACATTGCCAGTGTGCAGTGCTTGAAATACTTGTCTGGGCGAGACTAGGCATAGTGCCCATCCACGTATTCGCATTAACAATACCGCGCAACGCTTTGAACGGTCGAGGCGTCTAATCTTTAATAGTAGAAAATTAACCACGCTAACTTGCTTTTCTCAATCGCGAGAGAGTGCTCGAAAATAATTTCGGAAAAATACATTGTATAGTGACATCAGTTTTTAACACAATCCTTTTTGCATTGTGTATATAGAATGACAATTTTTAATTAAGGATTCAATAGTCATTTATCAAGAACTTGCTAAGGTAAGTACACGAATTTTTGACAATTAGTTTAATTAGATATTAATTTTATTTTATTATTGATATACATGTAAAATAATATTTCGAAAATTGCAAAAAAATGTAATTTTTGTTGCAATTAATAATATAACATATGGTTGAATATGGTGTGTTAAATTGGGAGATAATTAGCTTTTCTTTTTGATAAAAATAGAATAGGTCATCACAAACATAAGTAGAGTTTGTCGCGGTCGGGTTTAATGATTAAAGATTGCAGTTTGTTCAAATACAGAATGCGCGCACGTGATTTCCGCGTGTTGCAATATTCTAAAACGATGATCTATATATACATATTCTTTGATAGGATGTGATTATATAATCAATCGTGTTCGCGCGTTATAAATACTGTAAATAGACGTACCCGTACAGTAACACATTATGTAATATATACAATAGCTTTCGAAGGAACAAAACTATTTTTAATTACAAGTACTATTTTACTTCATACATTAAAGTATTATTTTTTCATTTTAACTTAAAATTGTAATCACTTAATCAAATTAATATTCTCCTCTAAAACAAATTAATATTCTACTCTATAAAAATAATTCAAAAAAATCATATTTCGTTTAATTATTTCAGTTTCTTTGACGAGATGGGTCGTAGAAAAAGAAATTTGAAGAAGCTCTCGAGCGCTTCTCAGAAAATTGGTGAAAATAAAATATCAGAAGAATTGAATTCTGATGAAAAAGAGGAAACGAAACAAAAAGAAGAAAATTCTTTCATCCTCGAAGATACGATCGATGTTTATCAACGTGTGAGGCTGCCACTTGTACACTCGATGTACGATCGATCGCCGGATGATAGCGACGAAGAGGAGGATATCGTCGTGCTAAACTTCTCTCCGCGTTTTGTCTTCGTGTCGAATTTGTGCTTGATCTGTATGGAACGATCGGAGGAGGCCTGCGAATCTTGCGGTTTGGTTTCTTACTGCAGCATCCAACACAAGAAACAAGGCTGGCCGAAGCATCGCGAACTGTGTAAAGTTCTCACCGAAGTCTGCACAAATGGAGGAGGCTTCTCGTTTCTGCCGGATCTCACCGCGGACGATTATCGCATTTATCGGCTAAAACTAATCGAGATAGTGGAGCATCGTTTGGGAAGACTTCTCGATCCCTGGGAGAAAGAAATCCTTCTTTATCCTCGTATTTGTTGCAGCTGCCGTTATTTTTCAAAGACTCTGAGATACTGTCCGGCATGCGGAATCGAGTTATTCTGCGAGAATCACGATGACAAACACGAAGAGTGGTGTCGAGATTTTCAGGTGTTTCGAAGAGTATTATTTATGCAGCACAGAAACGGCAACGTGGATCCTGAAATCCCAGATACTTTTCAAACTACTCCGCTTTATTTGCCAAATAATTTTGATTTGTTAATGACACAACTTTACAGTCGTTCGACATATTATTGCAACATGGATTGTTATACTTATTGTAGCCTCTCTCATATATCGACCATTCCATTGACGACTCTGTATTCTATGCAAATTTCTTGTCAGGATTGGAAAACTATTGATACCTTTGTGATTCACGTGATAGGTGCCGAGTTTCAATTTGAATGCATAAATTTGCACGTATGGGAGAAATTTTTTTTACATCTTCTTCCGAATTTAAAGCATCTTAGATTAATGTTCATTGGTCCAGAATTAAGATTGCCGGCAGTGCCATTAGATCTTTTGACAGCTGTGAAAATCTGTTCGGCTTGCAAATCGATTAATCGACGTGTGAACGTTTCGTTTTATCCTGAAAAATTCTACCATAATTTTTGCCATTCCAAACAGTTTATAAAGCCGCATCTTATATGTCTCTTTAATCCAGGTCTTTATCGAGAAACTGGGTTTGAAGGTAAAGATACGTGGCCGGAGACGATAAAGGAATTCTGCAAAATAAAAGTTCCCGTTTGCGTAACATCTTACACGAAGCATGAAATTCCTCGGGAAATGACCAGAATAAAATCGATTATTGATGTGGAGACAATTCTAGAGCCAGAAAGAAATCCATTTGCCTCAATTAAGCCCGACAGAAATTTTGTTAGTGATGATACGGTGCCACTTATCTACAAAAATTATTATCTTGCTATTATTAGAGGAAAATCATAAACAGATTTGTAAAAAAATTTTTTTGCATGTTTTTTGCATTTAATTGGACGTAAATATTTTACTGTACTTTTAAATTTATTTATCTATATGTATAATATAATAATCTATAATGTATATTTTTAAAAATTTAATAAATAAATTATTGTGTAATATAACAATCATAGTTGGGCAAAATACTAAATTTAATATAAATATATTAATATAATATATAAATATCTTTCATTATTAAAAATATAGTTTATGTATTTTTAACTAAATTAGATTATCTACAGAATAAGTAAGATAAGATATTGTATTTTGAGTTATAAATATTATATCATAAAATATATTTACGATGATAAGGAACTTTATTTCACAATCATGATTATATAATATAATTTATAATTGTATAATCAGAGTTAAAATTTATCAATTTATAACAAAATATATTCTGATGAAGTACTAATATCTACATAGATTTGTATTCATTTTGTATAAGTAACGTGTCAAAAGTACATAAAACTATTCTATATCTCTTACATTTCGAAGAACAATATTTATAATTTTTCTTATTACAACTGTTTTTTATTATAATGTAAATATAATCTTATATATATATATATATATATTTTTTTTTGTAAAAATAACTATATAAAAAATATTAGATTTTTCTCTATAATTTCTCAGTAATATTAAATAATATTTTTGCTCGAAACTTGGCATATGTCATATTATAATTATATAGAATAGCTATTAAACATACTTTTTACATACTTTTTACATAATGTTGAAATGTTGCAAATGTATATATCAGGATATAATGGCTAATATAATATAATCCAAATTTCTTTATTTAAGAAATGTCTTCAATTTAAGAATAAAATTCGTCACTGCGATATTTGAAAATAATTACCGCATTATCGAGTTATAATGCGCAAAATTGCGTTATAATCTGTATTATTCAATTAAATCATGATCATTATTTGCATCTTAAATTACATTACAATAAATAAAATTATGAGAAAGTTAACATATATTAAAATGTAATTACATCTAAATAAGCGGGAAATAAGCGAGGTAACTTACGATGATATCGTATACGATAATCGCAATTGCGATTTAGTTTAACTTTTAACTTATTAAAAGCACACACGTTACGTTATTAATAAAATTTACAGTTAAAATATTCTTTAGTAAAAAAAGATAATATTCGTTAAATAAACATTATTTGTACTAATTTATCAAATGGGAGTTTTTTGTCAATGACATAAAATCATTCATTTTGAACTATGAAAAGTAATGTAGTATCGTTTATCAGAGTCGTATAAATACCATCGTTAACGAAAAGGCTATCAGAGCTATGGACGATATAGTGTTTTGTCCTGCTGAATTAAACCTGGTATTTAATGGTGTTTTATTGACATCGTAAAAATAGCGATGATAAGCGTTGTCGCAATGAGATGGCCAATCTTTGAAACATGCCGCATATGCCACGGCGTGAGCGATATAATTCTGCTCAAAAGTACCTCGGAACAAATGCGCGTAAGGACCTGTAAAAGATTTCATTTGTTTATCGCATCAATAAATTAATGTAATCGCAATTTCACTTTACTCAAATTAATTCTATTGAACAATTCAAACGTGACATGTTACGATAAAAATAAAATTTATATTCATGACAGGACGCAAAATCCAATATAATATATAGCTTTTAAAAATATATAGGAATTGTATTTCTTACCGATAGCATAAACTCCGACGTCTTCCCCGCCATGACTCTCATCCTTCAGGTACTTGCCAGCAAAATACATATAAAAAGGATTGTTTTGGTGAGTCGGGTCTTGAGCAACGTTTCTCCAGGTCTCGTTAACGTTCTCGCTATCGTTTCTCCGATGATAAAAGAATCCTGGACCATTAGCATAGGAGAGCGTCTCATAGGGACTCTTAGAATTAGATTTGTTGGCGAAACCGAGAATGTCGTTGCCTCTCATGGGATATCCATTCAATGTAAAGGAATGCGAATGATCAGCTGTGACAATGATCAATGTCTCTTCTAAGTTTACAAGTCGAAGAGCTACCTTGACCGCTTCCTCGAGTTCGTACAATTCGCGCAGTGCTAGTTTCGCCCAGTTGCTATGATGAGCTAGATCGATCTTGCCGCTTTCAACCTAGAAAATCATGTAAAGCAAATTGTTAAAGGAAGAAAGAGCATTAATTTTTTATATGTTAATTCTGTTAATATTCTGATTCGGCGATACGGTCTTTTATAAAACTTTGAACTTAGGCAAAGATTGTAGCGCTCTCAAATTACGCATGATTAATGCGTTCAAGTAATATGACCTTGACAAGCATCCGGGAAGACGAAACCCTACGAACGTGTGCCTATGAACGTATTACGCGAAAGTGGTCGTTATCACGTAATTTACATAAGAATCGTATTATCATCATCAATCTGTCAAGATTCCGTATAGTTTCGTTTTTGTTTCATTAATATCATTTTAATATTCTCAAGTGCTATTCTCGCATAATACTCAGTTCCACATCGCGATCTAATTTACGTTGGATTAGATATTCAACATCGTTCAGTGATTACTGACCATTAGTAAAAATCCATTTTTGTTCTTCTTCAGCAATCTTATTGCCTGAGTCGTCATATTCGCTAATGAAGGAGTCTCGGCACTTTTTACAGCGTGATAGGGCATGTGATCAGACGAAAAAATGCCGAGGATGTGTGACGTGTTGTTAATGTCGATAGACATGAGATCCTGCGTATTGTTGACAGCTTTCCCTTTCGTATGATTCGCTTGCCATTCTTTTATTAAATTTCTACCATCAGATCGTAGACAGGCATCAGAATCAATTGGTTTCGCGTTCACGCCCAAATATTGCGCACCGCCACCCATGATAACCTTTAGAAGATATCGCCAATATTAGGTGCAATCACACACACAAGTTACGATTCTAGATCATTTTAGATCTAAAATATGTAATATACATTGTAGTGCAGATTTCTAAAAAAAAATGTTTTCACGTAGACAAATTAATAAATTTATATATACTTTTAATTTACTATTAATTTTGAGATTATATTTTAATTTATATGAAAATGCAGATAGAATAAATTACCTTAAATTGATTTCCCGGTTCATCTTCAATAAGTTGTCTGGCGATATCTTTGGCACAATTGCGCTGATCCTTTGGTATCGAGGTATCGCATTCCCACTCTCGACTGTTAGTATGCGCGTAAAGTCCCGCGGGAGTGGCGTGAGTGACACGAGTGGTGGTAACAAATCCTGTTAATTAATCGTACATGAATTATGGCTGAAATTTATTTATCAAAGTAATAATGACAGCAAAGAGTAAAATTAAAATTTTATTAATTTAAAAATTATTTTTTTCGGTTTATTATATCAAGAATATGCTTTTAAAATTAAAATTTCTAATATTAACGTTACAGTAAAGAAAGTATAAAAGAAAATATTAAATATGTATTATTATATCACGTTATACAACTCAAGTTTATTGTCTGTAAAAGATATTTTTATGATATAATTTATTAGCATAAAATAACAATTGGTAGGGTGCTGAGGTGCAACAGGAAATAAACGTGTTAAGTAACTAATCGGCGAGTCAGATTGTCAATGCAAAAAACTTTCGTTATTTCACCGAAGTAGAAATCAGTCATGGGCGATCGGTCGTCCTCGACAAGTTAGAAGGTCGGCTCATGACCTCCTCGTTTATTGAGAAGACTTTCACTGTATGTAACTTCAACGAGATCCACTCAGCACCAACACTTACGTTAATGGAATAGCTGATCACGCATGACGCATGTTCTCTACAGAATTGATACTGTATATGTATGTACATATTATGTCGGTACAATATTCATATTTAAGTGACACTTCTAAGAATGTCCCCTCTCCCCAAATAATCGCAAAAAGGATCAAAATTTTTTTATATTAAAACTGTATTTAATTAAAGTATATTTGTAAGTTTTAATTTGAAAAACAAAATGTTCAATTAAATAAAAGTATATTTAAATGGAAGCAATAAAAATATTTTTTTAATTTACTAAATAAAGAGTGCTAATATAAAAATATATATTATATTTTTCACCGTTAATTTGGAATTATTAATAATATTCTGGATTTGGATTTGTTTATTTAGTATAAATTGTAATTAAATACAAAATACACATCATCAAACGACCATGTAAATTTGCTGTATATGTATAACGTGATATAATATAAACATTATGTATATATTAATACGAGAAAATTTATTACAGTTCTAATAAAATTATTCATTATATATGATTGAGTCTATATAATCATATATAAAATTTAACTTTATCACGTAAACTTATTGTTCAGCAAAAAAGATATGTTTGCTCGATTTGTTATCTCGAATAATGAAATATCATGCTGTAGAAAATTTAATTAACCGACAATAATCGGTAACAAACATAAGAAAGAGATTCTAATCTATTTCCTCAACTTTTAATTTTTATAATATTTAAACTTTAAGTGCAAATTTATGTCAAGGTTTGATCTCGTTATTAATAAATAATATTATAGATTAATCGAAATTTTTATTTTATTCATTGATTGATCAAGGTTTTAAACGACAGTCGAAGGATATTTATTTTCACGATTGAATAATAACTCTCAATTAATTCTATTATAGATGTTTTTTTTTGGAGCAAAATTACTTATAATTTAAAAAGACATTATATTAAAGAAATTATATTATAAATTATTCATCAAAATTATATCAAATTATAAATTAAATATATAATTTTTTTATAATTCGATAATTCTAAATTAACGAAAGTATAAAAATTAAGTATTTCTCTACAAACTTTCAAAATTTCGAAAATCTAATTTACTATCTTTCGCCAGTATTGTATTTACTTCGATTGAAATTTCAATATAGCTATTAAACATATATTCGCTATTAGATAAATAATATATGAAGCACTTAAAGTAAGCAAATAAAAAGAATAAAATTTATAATTTTTACAAATAAGAAAGACAAAATTACAAAAATGTTTTAAGAGATAATTTATGTAAACATAAAATATAAACCGTTTTGAAATTATTTAAAATTAATAAAATATTGTAGACTTCAGAAATTCTTACCTGTATCCATACCGGATTGTTGTGCCCAATTAGCTACAGTGGATAGTTTGCTAATTTCATTGATCTTCTTATCGCATTTACTATCTTCGGCTCTGCCATCCAATCCAATAACATGATATCGGGTTTTTACACCAGAAAATATTGCAGTAGCCGTTCCGGCGGAATCAGGCACTTGTTTATCCACATTGTAAGTCTATAATGCGTAATAATTGTGAAACATTTATTACGCGAAATATATTTATATTTATTATTTGATATGATTTTGATCATTAATAATAATAACGTTGATTTAAGGAAATATATTCTTATGCCTTATCCTTATTATTGACAACTAATCAATCAAAATTTTCAAAGTATAATATTTTATCGATTAAAATCGATATTGCATTCATCATTTTCGGTAGGATAAAATATAATTAATCACGTCTTTGATGCGTGATATAAATTTATACAGAACTTTTTTTTTATATTTAGTAATTAGAAGATCGATGAAAATTAATTGTAATGCGAGTATTGCATTTGTCGTATTTTCTCGACACCGATAAACGCGGCGCGTCCTTATCAAAGGCGGCGACAGAATTAAACGGCTTAACGTGACAGGATTTCTAAATATCTTCGCACCTCGCGAGACCGCATCGAGATTAAAGGCGCGATCGATGCGATTTAAATATCTACCTTGGCTAAGCCGGTGTTGGGGAACTTCTCAAACTCGAGTTGGTATTCCTCACCGGTCTGGCCATTGAGCTGACCTATGTAAATTCGGCCGGATGTGATGCTAGACAAACCCATGCCGTCCCCGATGAAGATGATCACGTTCTTGGCACGGTTCTCGTTGTTCCGGTGCGCCAGGATCTTGTGTAGGGTCTCTTGGCCGGACTTCAGCCAGAAGGACATATCTGATGAGAGATCAAAGTTTCGCCTCGTTGCCAGAGACTAATACTAATCGATTGACCGTGATATTTGTAAGCAACATCAAAAGAAGCATCAAAAAAATGTTTGAGGGACATTAGATTATATGTTTTTTAGACATGACTGTATTAATAACTGTTGAACAAATAATGTCTTATTGTTAATGAGATTTGCTTCTTCAGATTGTAATCTTATCTATATGTGATACATATACAATGGGGAAAAATTTACGCAACCGAGATCAAGGTACTAAGTGATCGCGTGAAACTCATATATTTTGTTTGATTATTGATTCTCTACAATATTAGAGGATAAAATTTAAGAAATAAAATGCATATTAGAGAGGCATTTTCTGATCAAATTTGTTGTGAATAGTCTTATATTAACAGGAATTACTTTACATGAATGCATTTCAATATTTTGATAATGTATTTTTACATATAGCTTTTATATTATCTACATTGACGCGGAAAAATTTTAAAGTTATCGTATATGTACAGTATTGACAATAATTAACAAAAAGTGCATTTTACACGATCGGTGATTTTATCGATGTTTTATCGTGAAACATTTTTTGCGCAAATTTAATTGAACAACAAGGAAACAATTTGTTTTTTTAAATTTATCAACACAAATAGTACATATTGTTCATAATTCTCTTCTTCTTTGTATGTCTATCATATATTTAGAATTTGTACCTCACTTGCTTATTAATATTATAATTGTAAAAAATAATTAGCAAAACACGAAATATTAAGCACATATCTACATATCTATCTACGATATGTAACTGATAGAAATCAATCACGTTCATACTGAAAAATTTTGACGTTTAATTTAATAATTATTTCATAAAATGTAAATTATAACAAACCTTCATAATCCGTGGACCCTTTACGTAGCGCTTCAGAAGTCTGAAAAACAGCTGTGACGCAAAGTAACAGAATGTATTGCTTCATTGTGTATGTCTTCTTTTTCTGTAACAGATAAATAATTCACCATTACTTTTCTGTAAAGAAACAAATTATTTTCTCTTATTCGCTCAATAACGGATTGAATAATATTGATTGTTATCGATTGTCAGGACTGCGAAAAATTTGTCGACATTAAATTTGCTCAAACATAAATGTTAATTTATCAACATTTATTTTAACGATGCATTTTAACAATAAATTTTTTCGTCGATTATCGCGATCTATTACCCATTCATTATTTAAATTTTGTTTTTATTTTGTATTACTTAAAATCGAAGGTGTTAATAAATAACCGTAAGGTTTTAATAAATAATACAAAAATAAATAACTAATATAAATACTAATATAAGATAATTGAAAAAAACATTTTTAAGCAAAAAAATATGATATATTGCAAATTTAAATAATCATTGTACTATTCATCGTGCTTGCAAATTACGCGCTTCTTATTTTATGTAAATTTTATGCAAATGTTCAATACAATTAAGTATAAATAGTTTATTTCATATAATTGCTAAGTTTTAAGTTCATAATACCACATATAATTATTTTTTAAACAAAACCTGAAACAAAATATTAGTTCTATTATATCAGTTCTATTTTTTGTTTTACTAGAATTTCTTTAGCGCAGCGTGACGTTTGTGCATACATTAAAAAGTCGATGAAAAAAAGTGTCTTTTTTTATTTGTTCATACATTGTTTCATTGGTTATTCTCTAGTTTCGTTTGCTTAAATGTTTGCAATTTCGTTTTTTTTTCACTGATTCGCATTTACTATAGCCAGTATAAATTACGGTTCACTCGATGTGATCAGCTGTTCCTAATTTGATACGCCATTAGCTTTGCGATTATCGTATGTGACAAAGGGGAACTGTACAAGGGTCAGTTACCAAGCTAATAAAATTACTATATCACCAAATGTATATCCTGCTCTTCAGGAATTTCAACTCGATATATATTCACACAGTTTTTTCTTTACGTTTACATAAGCGGTTTAAATATTTACATATACGACTCTTTTCTATGCCTCTGTTTTGAAGCAAAACAATTATTGTGTAAGTACTCTGCAGTTTCTTTGCGAGACACTTATATTATTATAGATTCTTCGGTTCGAAAATTGGTTGGTTACGGCACCATGCATAATAATTGGATATAATTACGCGGTTACGACTCGTTACACACGGTATTGTTATTTTATGCTCGACATCTAGAAGATTTCGAGTAGTACGATTACTAACAAGTCGAGACGAGTGTATAATTTTTGCATCATGTCACAGTACATTAAATATTTTTACAATTAAAATATTACATTGTATTGTAATATTTATAGTAATATGTTTTTAAATCATTTATCATCGTCTTTATCAGTTATATATTTTTTCTATATTTTTAAAATCTAAACTCACTTTAAAAATGATATAGAATGAATTTCTAATAAGTCAGTAATCTATTAGAATGCTGTTCGTACGATACATGATACACACTTACATATTAGTGTGTATATGTGAATAGGGTCGCTCGTCGACCTAGTTCTTATCTCATCACCTTCTCAGCATCTGCAAACTGTCTGTACGATTCTACATGTTTCTTGCACCCCAAAGTGCGGTTTTAATCTTACACATGTATAGCAAACAGGAAACTAAGTTATACCTACCTGACTTGTATCGGGAAGGAATACGTAGATACGGCGTGGTACTTCTCGATGATGTCAAATCAATGCAATTGGATCTGTCGATATGTCAATTCAATGATGTCTCGGCGATGCGCGACTTGAAACGAGACATCCTCGGAAATGAAGCGCGTGATTTTCGAGAAAGCGTCTTTGAAATTTTAATTACTTCTTACTCTAATGTTTGACTAAATTCTTTGGTCGCTTAATCACCTCTTGCCGCTTGAGTTGATTGGCCGTCGATGAGATTGTGACAAGTGTCGCTTGGATTCTTTTTGAATTACACGACGCGGCTGGAAGGCGCGAGTTTGAAGCCGAAGCGAGATACCGGAGCGAGCCAGCTTTGTCACTTTATATAGCGTTTCAAAGGCCGTGGCGGATTGTGTGTGCACGAGGTGGCGAAACGTGCAAGGGACACTGAGTACGCGGATTCTGCATACGGAAAGGGAGGGGGCAGAGCGATCCCCCTCGTGTGCTGCTAATCCGACCGTAATTGACGGGCTCTGTGCCATTTTGTCTTATGTCCGCGATACGGATTAATTCGTGAGCACGAGGCACCTTGTCGCGAGATCTTCCTTTGTCTCAAAGCAACGCAAATAAAAAGAAAATAATCATTTTTTAATTATAATTTAATTTTAATTTCATTTGTATAATGCATTCATTTTATTAATTTAATAGTATGCGAATATAGAATTTTTAAAAAGAATTCTAAGTTATTGTTAGAGCGTTTATTCATTTCTTAATATTTACAAGAATTTTTTTATAATTAAAATGCAGTTTAAAAGTTTGAAGCATATTTGCTTTAATTTTAATAATAAAATTATATTTTTAATTGTATCTTGAATTATTTTTAATTCTTTAAAATTTTAAAAACTATTTTTTAATATATAATTTTTTGTGAAATGTATTATTTCAATTAAAAGTGTTTGACTAAAGAATTTAACCAAAAATTTAAATAAAAATAGGAATTTTTTAACATTCAGTACATGCAAGTAAAAACTTATACGTATAAACATATATATTTGAATAATTTTACATACGTTTTATCAGGAGAACAAATACTGTTGTTACTTAGTTTGAAGCTTTAACGTTTTCTAAAAATAGCTTAACTTTAAGAAAGGTATTCACGTTATTACCTTTTCATTTGCCAGGCGATAGTGAGCTATTGCGAAGATAATGTGAACAAAATGATACGATATGGTTTAAATTATCCAGTCATAGAAGTAATGGAGCAATCTCAATATTATTGTTAATATAAAATAAATGATCACTTTATGATATGTTATTTTTCAATTAAAATGAAAAAAGCTCAATATTAAAAATTAAAAAATGATTAAAACAAATTAAAAATATTAAAAATGTTACATTGTGACATGTACGGATATTTTACTAATATTCTGCAATTTGTAAGATATTTAGTCTGTGTAATTAGTTTTTCCGATAATTATTATAATTGAAATTATTTCACAAAATACTCATTATTGTCATCACAATTCGCGTATTTCGTTAATACAAAATAATGATTTAATTCCATTATTTACTACATTTATATTTTTTAAGAATTATTCTTCAGAATAAGATCAAATTTCTTTAAAAATAGATGTTATTATTCGTTTAGGTATATAATTCTTCCGATTTTTTATTCAAATTCTTTTTCACACCTGTTAAAATTAATATATAATTATTCTCCTAGTTATATGTATATTTATAATTTCTAAATTTTCATTAATTACAATATTAAAGAATCTAAGAGTTTTTTTGAAAATGAAAGATTTTGATGATTAGAGAAAAAACAAGAAACTCTATACATCAATAATAGTAGATAGGTTAATAATAGTAGCCATGCCAACAAAATTTTTATCTGCATTTCTTTTCTTAATTTCTGGTTAGTGATTTATTTTTGTTCTCATTGAAAGATATATACATATGTAGTATTTTTATTCGCGTATTATTAGTTTTATCATTCATAAAATAAAATATTTCATATTTTATACATATGTTTATTAAACTTGTTTTTTTATTTAAAAAGAGAGATAAAACATCAATTTTTATAAAATTCTTTTATCATTTTTCAAAATGTGAAAATATCAGTATTATTTGATGATTAGTATCCGCTTTTGAAATCTCGATAATAATATCAATTCTGATTCTGTCGTGATTAATTAACTGATTAAATTTGATTATTATATGCAATTTCATTTTGTTTTAACAATTAACATGGGCAGTTTTTATATGAGATCAAAGATATTAACTAAATTATGATTAACTGATATTCTTGTATCATGCATTCGGAGAGTGAAGATATACTTTTTTATGACTGATTAAGATTTGATATCGATACATGTGTGACGGTTATGTATCTTAAAAGATATTTATTGAACTATAAAAATAATCTTATTTGTTACCATTACACGTGATGTTATGTTCTTAAAATACAATATTAATATAAATTTAGAAATTTATTTCTTTTTTATTTTGCATCCATTATTTATGTGAAATTTTAAAGGTTTCTTTGTGGTCTTCAACTTTATATAAAAATTATAATGTCTACGATTTTTTGCGACAATTGCTTTACTCAATACTTAATGATTAACGTATTAAATTATGTTGTGTGTATTTATATATGTATGTATATGTGTGTGCGTACATAGCCAATGATTAAAAAAACTTCAATGTTAACACGTAAATCCGCGTGTTTTATTCATGAGTTAGTTGTAATATCAGATTAATCCAGTTTGCAGGTGCACTTATTGATTTAAGATAGTTGCACTGCAGGCTATTATCATATTTGTCATCGAGAAAGATTTTTTTTCCTTAATCGTGCGTTTAAACATTCGATATATATTGATTGTTAAGCGTGTGATGACAATTAAGTTTCAGCTTATGAAATATGAAATTTTTTCGATTGATGCTTCAGCGATATTTTGAGGCAATGTATTGCGCGATTGACACGCCGCTTGTAGATTGTGCAATAATCAGCAGATTTCGGAGACGGCAAAGTCTTATGTAAACAATTAGGTAAAGCTCTATGAGATGGGTAATCGGGGCGATATGATATTTGTAGTATTTATAAGACAACGTGACGAAGAAAAAACTCCAATTACAAAGCTCATAGTCGATCTCAAGTCCCGAGAGGTGTGAATCAAGGTTTCTGTCTCGCGATTGGCCGCGGTTATCGACACGTGAGACAGGTGAGAGTCTTGCGTGTCCCTCGATCGTGGATCGCGCGAGCAGAGCACGTGATAATACGGCGCAGCACGTTTTTGTGATAATGCTGCCGTGATCAGAGACTGATTATCACGACCGCAAGTAGTATCTACACGATTTTCATACGTTATCTCAAAAAAGGCATGATAAACAGTGATGGCACATTGCGCATCTCTTAATCCGTCTGCTACCAGATATTGTATTTGTAGAGAACTTAAGAAATGATGCGCGAAGGCATAAAGATCTCCAGAAATTTCTGCAGCTTTTGAGACCGTCTCGTAAGCTTAATGTAAAAGTATATTTTTTTCTAAGAAAATTATTTCTAAGGGAATTTTTTTCTCTGAAAATTATACTTCATACGACGGACAGAATTTTCTCTTCCCTTAGAATTTACCCTGAAAATCATAGTACTTGTGAGACAATATGATATTGGAAGAATTTTGCAAAAGTTTCTCTGATTAATATTTACCACGATAAAAAATATTAATATGTACATAGTAAAATTAATCTAACAAATTTTATATCTTATTGTGATAGATATTAAACTTTAATAAACTTTGATTGTTTTTTTTGTCAGAAAGAAATTTTTGAAAATCAAAATTATTATTCTTAAAATTACAGAATTTACTTTAAAATAATGAATTTATGTTTTCTATTTTTTAGAGAATTTCAGAAACTTTAATTTTGGATAAAAAAGTATTTAGATAGATCTTATATAAAAAAGGAAATACAAATATTAATTTTACATATTAGTAATGTTATCTTATATATATTTTGTTGCTATTATTAGAACGCAATTTGAAATAAGAAATTTCTTTATTATAAATAATACAAGGGTATTTAAAGAATATTGCAATAGAGACAAAACTTAATTAAAAATGAAGCAACAAGAATCCATAATTATCAGTGAATTTTTTCTTTATGAGTGCCGCTTAAATCTCGATATTATATCTTATCACAATTTTTAACGTATATATATTGAACGTATATATATTGAACGTATATATATTTTCAACGTATATATATATTGATATATAAATAGATACAAAATAGAATTATTATAATGTCTATCGAAAATTAAAAATATCTAGAAGCAAGAAGAGAGATTAAGATTTTAAGACTATTAATATAATATTTTTAAAAAATGCTACTTGACCACTAAATTATTTATGGAAAATAAATTTCTACTAAAAGTTAATTAACTATTTTATCTATATCAGATAACTAAGATTCAAATAACAGTAGACGATAAGAGAATACTTACTTGCAGTCAAGAAGAAGTAAATTTATCGTTACAGTCGATAAGAACGAAATCTCTGAGCATATAAATCATTTTATAAAAAGAGGAAACAATTAAAAAAGTAGAAAAATGAAGCTTGTAATATATTATAAAATTTTGATATAAATACATTTCATGCAATGACATTAAATATTCAAGCGTTATCTTACGTAGCGCTAGCGCTTATACACATTCATACAAAGTATACATTATTTAACATTTTACTTCGTTTTTATGCGATTGTCTGACGTTAGGTAAAGTGTATTTATTTCAAATGCAATTATTTTTTTCACGATATTTAAATGCTCACAAAACAATGGCAAAATACGAATATAAAGGCGTATAAGATGCTAAGTGAATATTTTTAAAAATATAGATAACATAAAAATATGTTTCATTAGACAAAATAATATGTTTCACGATAATATATATCTCTCACTTTTATATACTCAGTTCTTTTTATATCAAGAAATAGGAAAAATATTAAGCAATTTTTTAATTAACAAATACAATCACTTTTTCACTATCCTTAAAATTGATTAATATTTTACAATATGTAAGCTGTAGCTCATACACACCTTGTATTAATATTTTTATGTTATGCATATTAAAAATACGGTTCTAAAATTTGACTTCTAACTGAAACAGTAAATGCACTCGAGAGGTGTCTGTTGTTGAAAATATTTAACTTTGGTTAATAACAATTTTTTATATTATTTTATATTATTAATATTTGTAAAAATATCTACTTATCATTTTATGTATATACGGGAGTAATAACGGCTGCGAGATAGGGAAAGAGAGAAAGAGGGTGGAGGCAAAGTCGTATACCCGAGAAATGTGCAGGGGTCGTTGTCCGTTACGGGATGGACTGCATAACAGCCGAATGTGTTACGCTCTGCTACAGCATTATG